CTGAGTGGATTCATACCGCATTCGGACCCATTGTCTTGCCTGCGCCGTTACAATCTGTATACATTAAACAGGTTATAAGATAGACAATGCAAAAATAGGTAATTTCTTACTGTTTTTTTTTATACAATCACTGCTTATAGCCCTTGCGTGCTCTGTACATACAAACAACAACCTCACCTTAGGCCTCACCTTAAACCTCACTACTAAAAAAGTCTATATAAGTTGTAATACAATATACTTTTTAGGCTTAAGTACAATTTAATACAACTTAGAGACCCACTACAACTCTACGATGCACGTGATCGTAACGTATCGTATTCTACGAATCGTAGTCCTTCCTGTTGGTCACGCTGGGGGACTTTCACTATACAGTTGGGACGTTACCATGCCAAATTTTATGCCTATATATACCCCCTCCCTCCGCTCATACCCATCCCCTAAGTTGTACACAACATCTTCAGAAAAAAGCAAGTAGCCATGCAACTTCACCAATATACCGCTCCTGCTCTCATCCTCACTTTCCTGCTTGCGGGTGCGCTTACTCTTAAAAATCAGCTGCTACGCCTTCCAGATCCCTGCGTCCATCCGGTATGTCTACAACCCCCATAACACAGCTAACATCACCCAACTCTCTGAAACTCCTCTCGGCGCGTTCTCTATCTCTGTCTCTCAAGCTCAAACCCCCCCACATCTCTACCCCAGTCTATCTCTCCAGTCCGCCATCAGAATCCCCCTCACCCTCACCATCCTCTTATCTTAGACCCCAATACTCCTCCGCCATACTTATTGTTGTCACCGACGCCAGCTTGTTAGATTTCTGTACGACGAAGATACAAGTGCGCTTGGTATGGACGACGGAATGCCTTTAACTGCGTCGGATTCTTCATTCTCGCTTGAGCTGCAATGGCAGGCATACGCTCCCATACAAGCGATGACAGAAGAGGAAGTTGGGCATGGAGAGCCTGGAAACGTGGGGACATATGATGGGATCTGTGAGGGTTGGAACCGAAAATGTGGCTGCAAAAACCAATGCCCGAGTTAAATTCTATTTAATGATAGTATAAGAAGTAAATATATATACATGCAATGCTCCAAACCCCTAGAAATGCAATTGAAAAACATGAACGAAAAATTCAATATCCACTCGTAATTCCAATTCATTACCACATTCCTCTCCTGCTTAGACGCACTGCAAATTGAATCCGTTCAAATAGATGGGAATCGCAGAATCCTTCTGTCCGTCCAGATCAGCGTATGTTTGGTCCTTGCCATTAAGATTAATGATCCAATTGAAGTTCTGGAAGAAGCAGCGCGTTGTGTATGTAGACTTGATAAGTTGGGCTGACGTCCCGATGATAGCACCGTTCTGGTCGATTGCGCTGCCGCGGAATAGATCGGGGAGGTTGCGCGCGATGCCGTCGCCGGGAACTGTTGCGGTTGCACTAGCGCCGGTTTGGTCGTTCGTCACGGAGATGGTGATTTCAGGAACAGTGTCGCGGGATGATAGGGCTGGGGCAGCACTGATGGCGGAGGCGAAGATAGTGGCGACGAGGGCGAGAGTGAACTTCATTTTGATTTTAGAGTTTTTGGCTGGAATGAATTTGGTGGGTTGAAGTGGGTGTGCGAGCGAGTGTCGTAAGGAAATATATAGAACACAGACACAGATGGAAATCGAAAGGAAGTGGAAGAGAAGAATGAACTGTTGGTTGGATTGTTGGTGAGTGATGATGGAAGAGTAATACAAAGGAGAAGACGGTATCCTTTATATCTCTGTGTTGAATCCGAGCAGCTCATCGCAGAGGAAGTCCTGAACACTACTAGCCTATTCACCGACCTCTTCGGCGAGCATTATCCTCAGCTTTTGCTACTCCTCAGCTCAGCCATGCCATTTCCTGGGCAGCCCTAATTACTTTCTGTGCGAGTTCGGTGCGGAGAAGAGGAGTTTTTCGACGGTATGCTTCTTACTTCAGCGTAGCTCAAGGCGCAGCCTGCAGGGTGAAATTAAGCTTATGCTTAGCTTCGCCAGCGCCCCAGCCACGAACCACACGGTGACACTGCATTTGGCGAATTTTAGGAGAATTTTAAGAGCGAAAAAACAAGACTACGCCACAACGAGGTAATGATGAGATTTCCCTGGTTGATTGGAGAACCGTTTGCGCTAAGACTTGTATGAGGCGGGGTTGTTCCGGGCGGAGCGGAATGCCCGTGACCGCTGCTATTTTTGACTCCCGCTTAGTGCATCCGGGCGGTTGGAGCTAGACTTATTGGGAAGGCGGTTGACATTGGCAGAAGGTCCCTATTTGTTAAGGACGTTTCAAGGTCTCCTGCCTCTCAGCAACACCCCTCTCCCATACCAATTGAAATAGTTCTGCTCTCTCTCTCCGCCCTTATGTATTCGGTTAGCGTAGACCGTATTGCTTGAAATCTTCAGGTTAGATTGTCTTGGCTCTCTTGGCCTGACTGAGGTCATCGGCTGCCAAGGACCGTCGGGGCTGAGAGCTGAATCAAAAGACGGTGGCTTTTGTCGTCGACACCGAGGGAAGCGGTGAGATCGCCAAGGACACATTCAGATTACCTCTCGTGTTGCATTTTGGGAAAACTTAAGGGGAGTTTGGAGCTACATCGATAACCACCTACAACGGCAGGCGTTATGTTTGTATTCGCTGAAAATCTTCCCTTGTTGGCACCTATTCCCTCTATTTCGGTCCACCCACTCATTGCATTGCAATTCCCAATCGTACCGCATGAACGTTTCTTTATTCTTACAGTTTCCTCATACAGCCTCTTCGAGGTCCATACTGATCCCGTTGCCTATCGTACAAACCCCTATCCCCTAATCTATATTCAAAAAAAGGTTCTCGCACCGTTCCTCACCCAGTCCCTAGAATCCTCACTACAGTTCACTACCTTCCAGCCTCATCTAACCCTATAACCTCGCAAATGGTGCTAACCTCGTTGAGACCTCCCTCCAGACCCCTTCCAACCACTCTGCCCCCCCAAACCAAAACGCTACCGCGCCAAGAACTACACTCCCTGGTACCAATAACATCAAAACCAAATACCGAACCATCCCCCACCACACCGTCTCTAAACTCCTTCTCAACGCCTTATCCTCATCCATCCTCGGAAACCCCTCTTTCGGGACGTCATGTCCAAGAAACCTGCACAATGGTTCCCATTCAAATTCCGCGGAATGTAAAACTAAAAGATTTTGCTTAGGTACTAATTTTTTGACATTTTCACTATGCCTCTCATATGCCTGCTTCGCCCCAGGTCCACCATATTCATTCCCATTATGTGCTCGAAACACCGCATGCAACATCCTCATCATCGGCGCCATCTGCGTAACTCCCACAATTCTTGCAAGCGCAAAAAGCCGCCATGTAAAAAGACACCAAATGGAATCTTGCATACTGCGTTCCCAATCTTCATATTCTCTGACTGTCAAAATGACCTTCGCATCCGGATACGCATCAACTAGTTGCGCGGCGAAGATCGTGGATGGGATGTCGGTGACAGCGTCGTAGTCGCCGAGGAGTTTATCGAATTCTTTTCTGCCGTATGGTGGAAGAGTGTTGGGACTCGTTTTAGACGTGAGGAGAGTAAGGTTGATGGCTTCTTGCCACAGCGTGATTTGTGAGGGCTGAGAAAGCACGGCACGCATCGTGTGTGGTGTGTAGCCTAGTTTGCGGAGTGCGCTTGCGATAGATGTTGTTCCCGTGCGACACATGCCCAAGACAAGAACGCGCACGGGGAGTTTGCGTGCAGCGTGGTTATGGTCGATGAGACGGGTTGAAGCCATTTTGAAGGCGATTGATTTGGAATTGATGGAGTGTTGGAAGAGTCGTTGGGTTGGTATAAGTAGGCTATGAGGGAAGGTGGGTTGACGGAATAGGCTAAACTAACGGGTTGTAGGGCCGGGAAGCGAAGGGAAGGATTTGAGTTTGAGGCAAGGACTCAAGAATTTTGAGCCGGCGAATGCGATTTTCAGATCATAGAGGCGTTTTGCGCAATATTGGGAGCTATACGTTATGGTCCGATGCAAATCCGATATCCAGGAATGGCGCGGTGCTGCGATATACAGCTACTGGACCAGCCAGGATCGATTGATTGACTCGCAGATCATTTGCAAGGTATGAAACCCAAACCCGGGTGACAAACCTTAGGTGAGTTTATCAAAGCCGGCCCTTTGACTTATTCCTCAGCTCTTCATTCCACTGCTCAATAAACCTGCTCGTAAGAATGCGCATCTCAATCGCCTCCTCCGATTGCGCATCCGCCATGTTTCTGATCTGATAACTCTTATGCGCCCAAGTAGTCGCAGGCTCCCACATCTCAATGTTTGCATGAAATATCGCGGCAACGCGATACGCTTGGGCATAGTAGTCCACAAGACCCTCCTCTTCAACCAATTCTGCAAGCCTTAGACTCTCCTCTGCAAGCCTCTGTGCTTTCTTTCTGGCCATCACGGTCTTGGCTACCTCTAGCGTCAGCTGCGGTTCCAATTCAAAGAATCCTTTCCGGATCTCGTGGCGTCGGTGATCACTAGCCCAGGCAGCGTTTCCAGATTGTCCGGCACAGGCCTCACAGGCGCATTTGAACCCATACTGATCTAGTCTTCTTTCCCGGTCGGACTTCGAATATAGAAGAGGGATGTAAGTAACCGAAATCTCCTCACCCTCCGCGATTGGCCTCGTCGCATACACCACCCGTTTACGCAGCCGTTCCGTCCAGTAATAACCTGAATTAGGACGACACGAATGATTGATCCGAGCAATTTTTGTGAACAGGCCTATCTCATTTCCAGTGCTATACGCATTGCTCCGAAAGACTGTTTTGAGCCGATGATATTCTGTCTCGTCCGCTTCGCCGGGAAGTACGTGCGCTGATAGAGACAAGACATCGGCCTGGTCCCCTTCAGACAGCGCGTCGAAGGCCTCACCGATTAGGATCTGGATGGCATCAAGAGGGTATCCAATGCCTTCGTGCATCCTCGGAGGCCGGATGAGGATGGTTGGTGCGTCTTCCATGATAACAGTTCCTGGTTCCATTGCTCTTGTTGCAAACACGCCCAGTCCTTTTCCTGGACTCTGTTTAATAATAAAGTTCTCCCGCGGTACTGCGCAGAAGAAATTGCTGGACTCCCATGATGGCACTGAAGGAAGGTTGCATGTAAAATGCGCTACATCGATGGATGCATGAATGGGGGTCAAGATGGTGGCTAGTACGGGGAAAGCCAACAAACGGTGAAAACCAGCCATCACGAATATTGAACCTAACAATTAAGCTTTTGAGAACGAAAGGAAGAGATACTCTCGAACAAAATCATCTTGGCAGCTTGCTTTTGTATTTTTGCCGCTGGTCAGCACGAAACACAATTGGGTTTCATCTCTGCGTCGCGAACGCACCACCGCCTCCTGGCACAGGCAATGCAGTTGTAGCCGAGATTAGGACTTGAATGTGACGACGGCGTTTTACCATGTTAGCCGCAAAAAAAAAGGCAACATACTTTACGGGATGGTGTGTGTGTGAAGGTCTGATTTTGAGATAGTTTCGCGATCCCGATTGATGATTATGAGGTTTGGTTGATGCGAAACGGACTTGGTTGGACCGAGTGTTTGACATTGTGACTCAGAAAGGGTGGTGCTAGCCGACTCGGGAGTCGGGATAACTTGCCGTTTCTCGGTTTCAGGTCAATGTGTCGCACAGGTATGATTTCTTGTTCAAATCAAGGAGAACAGCAATGGGATGCAGTCTTCTGTTCCTGATTAGATCCTGTCACCCCCATTGGAAATCTCGAATGAATACGGATCCGTTTAGAGCACTTTGTCAATAAAGAAATCTATCAACCACGTTAAGCGGATGCGATTCTATGCCTCGATTTTCGAACATCATCCCACCATTACATGCTCCATGTGAATCTTACAGCATTTATCCCATAGCCGCCGCCTTCCTTTTTATAAACTTCCCCTCCGGCCCCTCGAGATGCGCATCCAGCACCGCCGTAGTCCCACTTAAGACACTCTTAATCGCCTCTGGCAGCAGTTTCTCCAGTTCCCCCGCCGCACTCGCATGCGCCGCCCAAATCTCACCTCCTGCCGCCGCCTTCGCAATCCCTGAGTAATCCGGCGAGGGCATAAATGAAATATTAAGTTCCTCGTTGCTCACTTTCGACCCCTCCCCATTCGGATGTACAAGTAGCATGCTTTTCCTTGGCGCATTCCATCCTTTGTTGTTGAGCACGATGGTCAAGACCGGGATCTTGTAGCGTCTTGAGATCCAATACACGGAGCCAGGGACGCTGAATAGATATGTGCCGTCCCCAACAATTTGACATACGAACTGTTTCTTGCCTTCGGTGTCGGAGGCGAGCTTGATACCTAACGCTGCACCACCGGACCAACCGAGGCCGCCACCACCACAGTTAAGCCAGGAGCCTGGGAGTGTGGCTTGCAGTTGGTCGGCAACGAAGGAGGTCTGGGTCACGGCTTCAATGACCCAGAGTGTGTCCTCCGGGCAGTGTCTTTTCAGCTGTTGTGCGAGATAGGGTGTGCCGAAATGGCCGTTTGAATCTACTCTCGCTTCGCTCGCAATCGCTATCAGTTTCTTCTTGTGGGATTCTTGGAGCGTCGTCCAACGGTTCGAGAACAGATTGCTGGAGATTTTGTCTTTGAGATTAGACGTTAGGTAGGCGTTCAGTTGGCCTAACGAGGTGTAGGAGTCCGCGCGGTATCGCTGGAGTGCCTTGAGGTAGAAGACTGGCATCTGCTGTTTTAACGGGTCGACGTCAATGTGAAAGACCTTGGCGCCTGCTTTGGGATGGCATTGCGTATTTATCCATGGGACATCGCAGTCTAGGACGACGATTACATCGGCGGTTTTGATACTAGGTTCGATACCGTATCGAAGGCCTAGCCAGGCTGGGTGGTTGGCTGTAAACAATTAGCAAGACTACTATGCAATTTTGGGAGGAGGCTTCGTAATATCGAGGGCCTAGACATACCCGGGAAGCACATGTCGCTCCCACCAGTATCAAGCACTCGGAGCCCCTTGACATTATCCGCCAACTGCACCAGCTCCTCCACCGCCGCATGGTTCCGTCCGCTGTACCCAGTAATCACAAGCGGCTCTTGGGCATTCACCAAAGCCTCCGCTATCGTCTTAACTCCACTCATCGGGAGGGCTGCTGGTTCGACGGGGTGCCAGTATTCCTGCTCCAACTTGTATGGTGCAAGGTCCTCCTCCATAGCCTCTCGTGCGCCGTAGAGATATACCGGGCCTTTAGGATCACTCATCGCGAACGACAATGCTCGATTGACCATTTGCTGCTCCACGTGAGCCCAGATACCCCTCCTAGCCCATTCCACTCATACGAACCTTGACATTCTTCCCCGTCTTTATTTCTCCAGTATACCTGCAATATTGCGCAACAATTTGCTTCTGATCCGGCACATCCTGTATCCAATGTATATACTCTGTCCTGCTTCCCCTCATTTCTCCTTCTAGCGTAAACGGTGACAGTCCCGCAAATATCAAAACCGGCGCTCGTCCTGTGGACGCATTATGCACCGCCGCCCCGAGCCCCTGGGTCCCTACATCTACGTGAACGATAACGCATTGAGGTTTTCCAGTCAGTCGCGCGTAGCCGTCAGCCATAGAGAGAGCGACCATCTATAGCCCCACATGCTAGCGTCAGCGTTGACGAACTGAGAAACTGGCTCCAATTCGGCAGGCACCCTCCGAAACACGGAGGAAACAGCAGTCGAGGAGAAAGAGAAGAGAATCCCACCTCATTCGGACAAGTAATAATCTTGGGGAATTTACCCTTTTTCTCATTTTGTCCTTTGACAATGGCTTCTATAATGCTGGGGTGGTCGGAGCCGAGATTCACAAAGCAATACGTGACGCCGGCCTCCCAGATGGCCTCGAAGAAGGCGAAAGACGCAGTATATACCCTGTACCTGCATTAGAGCTTCTCTACAGCCCTCCTTAAATCTTGCGGTTTGACTCACATGGTGTTGGTAGCCAAGCTCTTAATCCGTTCCGATAGAAAGGCGTGGAATGCTCTTAGAAGTAAAGTTTTGGAGCGCAGGACGAGAGAATACGGCGCTCTTTAAAGCTTTGAAAAAGGGTCGGGATACTCATGGCCCTTTTGGCGGGCGGCATAGTTACTTGGTGGGGGCTTCCCCGCAGCGCGTCAACCTAACCTCTCTCTCTGCTTCAAAAGATGCGGTATTCGGCAATGCAAGGCACGGAATTAACCCCGTCGGCATTCCGCGGCTTGACGCAACACCGAGGATCGTATGGCTTACTCAGCACGTGGCAAACTTCAACAAAGACAAAGTCTCTTCCCACCCAATGCTGTCAAATCGCAGGTTTCGCTCGAGCGTCATGAAAATATCCCGCTAACCCCCTTAGAATGATGTCAACTGGGGAATCAAATTATATTTGAATGTCGTATAACATTGTACCTAACGACTGAATCATCACCCTTCCCGCAACAATCCCCTTCACTCCTGCGCAATCGTCGGCGCAAAGCAACCGCAAACGCCGCCAGCAATTCATCCATAGCCGCAACACTTGCTGCACGCCGATAAGCATCCGTTGCATCGTCCAAGATATCCACCGCCATCCCGTTCACCATTGCCGCTTTCGACTTTCCAGAGAGCAATTAGATGAGTTGAGGAACAGAACTTCGAGGAAGCCCGGCGCTGATCTCTGCCCCTGGGACGAGCTTCTTCAATTGCTCCGAGATAGAGTTGCGAAGGACGGAACCGTAGACAACAGACGCAATAGCTGAGATACGGGAGCGAGCTGCACCTGCCAACCCTCCCATGCCGATCGCCTTTTGGTCTCTCAGGGCCATGGTTGCGAATAATCCACAGACAGCTTCTTGCATGCGAACAAGGAGGAAGCCAAGGACGGCCAGAACATGAGCCGTTGTCTACTTATCTTCGTCTGCGAATGCCTCAGCTCTCAGTAGAGCCGATCGGACGGTAGTGCCAATACGGGGAATGATTCAAGGTGAGACTTTGGAGGCTAGAAAGTCACGTGATGCTTGCTTCATGATGCGGCAGCCCCTGCGACCGCGGAGAGCCAGGCGTACTTATCACTAGTAATTGGCTAGAGGGATTGGATTATTTGTGGCCACACGAGCGCTATCGCGCAAAGTTGCGATGCGCTAATGCCAAGGTAGGTAATCATGCACACTCAGCGAATTTTCTTTGGCAGATGAATGGGCATATAAGGGGCCGGGTAGTTTGGGGAGATTTCTGTGACCATGTTAACCTGGCTCGGAGAGAATGTTTGGGAGTTGGAAGGAGGATACGCACCCAAGAATACAAAAGCCACGATAGCAACACTGCCCGTAGTCAGAGGCGCAAGAACCTAAACGCTGTTCCAAGGATGTACCACACCTCCCCAGCTAAGCCGCCTTAGGAAGACGAAGAAGTAACTGGTGAACAGGACTCGCACAACGAAGTCGAAATCCTTCCTTCCTCGATCCCTAAGAATGTGAGCGGGTAGTAGAATAGCGTGAAGAGCACCACCCCCGGCAAATCGAGGGCTGCGAACATGTAGAAGCAACTTTCTCCATTTGGTGCCGTGTGGTGAGGCCAAAGCCAACTCCAAATTCACAAGGGGACTATCCCGACTAAGCAAACATGGTCGCCGTAAAAAAAAACCCCCCCGTGTACCGATAAGAACAAGTTCACGTAGGACAATCTGGAACGAGGTCTATGTTGAGGAAGCGATACCAAGCAGTGTTATGGCGTCAATGACCGTGTTCACGTGCTTTACTTGTGATCCTACGGATACCCGACGATGCTTAGAGTTCAGATCTTGGAGAGGGATACTGCTGATTCTTACCGTCGTCCAAAGAGATCACCCAAGCGTCCAATGAGAAGATATGCGCATGCTTGGCACTGCGGAAGTCAGAAATGTGCTTTTTGTGAGAACTTTCGTAAACTAACCAGAGTGTACGTATACCCAATCCAGACAAAATTTGAATCAGGACCAATTTCGGCGTTGGCCATGCCAAAAAACGATGTAATGACGGCGGTAGCATTGAGAACGTTAGTGGAAGGACCAGTAAGATCTCTCTCGCAGACTTACAAAGTAACTACCAAGAACCAGCTTGCGGGTAAATACTCCTTTGGCAACTCATCAGATTGGGCAATCTGGGCGAGTGGGAGGCCTGGCTTGAACCTTTTTTACTGTCAAAGGCTTCTATTTGGTTGGCTTGGTCGATATGCGTCTCTGGGTCGCTTTTGGATGCCATCGGGAAGGACGGATGTTGAAGGAAGAAGAATGCGCAGGCCCACAGTCTTCAATTCGTGCAAAGGGTTGAGGAATAACAATGCTTTATGTTGCTAACTGCATTTAACATGAAATAGAGCTAGACAACTATTTGCATCTCTCTCTTCGATTTTGTGCCCTCATTCAGAAATCCCAACGCGGCCCGCGGAGGTCTCGGTAGCGCTACAAGTACCAAAACTGGGGAAGGCGATATCAAGAATGGGCGGAAACATAAGGTCGTCCGCACGGCCTCTGACCCCATCCCTGTGCTAAATTCACATTCTTTGTATTCTGTTGCATTTCTGATCTCCCTGCTCTTCAGCTTAAAAGATTAAATACTTAGCACGATCAAATCAAGCCCGTGAAGCCTTTGAGCTATCTCCAACTATTAAGATGCCATGGACTACAGTGGACTACAGTTCTGTGATCAAGCGCTAGGGAGAAAGTACCACTTGGTGGCTAATGAAATTTACTATATCAAGTGAAGTGGATGGAATCATCAATATGGATTATTAGGTAACTAGTTACTGTTGAATCTAAATATGGTTGACTCGCGCTTAGCGTCCAATAGTCTAGTAATAACCAACCCCTGTCTTGGCCCGAGTCACGTGCCGTGAAGGGTCCTCCGCAGGAGGGTCTAGTCGCCAGTGTAATTTTTGGTAGCTTGGGGGCCTTGGTTTGTATGGACAAATCTACCTCCCCCTAACTTTAGCGCGACCTAGCATCTCTCCATTGCTCTTTTTGCTAGGCTTAGCCTGAGAATAAATTAATTTATCTAATGTAGCGTTAACTAGTTAGTATAAATTTTTAGGAAAATTACTGTTGCGTTTGCCAAAAGGTCAACCTCCCAGCTAGCACAGCAGAAGGGTATATATAGACGGATAGCTGTATGCGACACACCCCCCAGCTCGAACAGTGGAACGAGAGGTGAAACAACCTCAACATACCCCCCTAGCCTAAGCAACAGAACTTAGAGACGGATCTAGTAAGGTAGCCTCTGTAATAGACGCACTACCTAAATGCTCTTTGCTAAGCGTAGGAATTAAACACATAGTGCTTAGAGATAATGCAATCCTATTAGTGGAACAGGGGTGTAAAAATTTTTGTGCGCTAACTATCTACACTACGCTGCAAACTAGGCTTATAACTGTTGCGTTTGCCAAAAGGTTAACCTCCTAGCTAGCACAGCAGAAGGATATATATAGACGGATAGCTGTATGCGACAATTACACTATAGGTTGTAAAGATGACCCTGTGCTTGTAACGATGCGCTAGAGTTGTTCCATCTCGGGTTGCCCGACGAACCGATATATGAAGGTTCCTCGTATCTGCCTCGACCCTGCCCTGGCCTCTGCTGTACCCCTATTCCCCTAAGTATTTAGCTGCACCTCTCCCCTTAGCTAGCTTAGTAGTTTTCTGATATCCTCTCGTACAAGGCCTATAGGTGTCAATGGAATTCCCAGGTTTCTGAGTCCCCATGTAAGGGCGGAGCTCGATACCAGTACACCAATACAACCAAAAGGTGCGAATAATCAACCAACGGTTGATATCTGCGTACAGAATAGTATATATACCCGTCGCACGTAAGCGCCATCTCGGCCTTACATTTATTCGCACCTTTTTGGTTGTATTGGTGCAGTGGTACAGAGCTCCGTCCTTACACCCCACGCACTCCCATATGCCTCTGAGTTAGTTCACATCGCATTCGGACCTGTTGTCTTGCCTGCGCCGTTACATAGTCTACACAAGCAAATAGTTTACTATAATAAAATTTTAGCACCTTGTACTTTAATTAACAATGCATCTACTAATTAACCTTTTATATACTAGCTACTATTTTATATATACATTAACTATTAGTTATTTTTTTTTCATCTTTTTAGTTATAGTAATAGAGTAACGTGCATCCCTGCGACGCGAGCCACCCTGTGTGAGAGCCAAATGAGGGGTTCTTTGACTTCAGCGAGCTCAAACATCGTGCGCACAGTCTGTGCAATCGTGGTTCTATTAAAATAGTGAGCTATAGTCAATCCTAAATCTCTATAATCTATTCTTTATTAAAATTACATGCAAGTTATTGTCTCTAAGCCTAGTTTGTACCGCGCCTTCTTTCGTAGCGTAGTATGCTTCCCTTCCTATAGCGCTAACATAAAGTCCTTATCACTCTAAATTCTATAGAAGGCCTCTATATAAGGCTCTAAACATTGTTCTACTGCTCTAAAGTCATTGCTAGCCTTTAGCGTGCTGTCGCAAGCAAATTTATGTAGGGTCTCAGTGGCGATCGGTACCTCAAGCAGAAGCAAATCACGAATCCTGAGTAGTGCGAGATAACCCCAGACTTACTTAGCTCATACACTCACAAGTATTATATTGTAAGATATACAACAAGCGCTTAGAAGATGATTAATCCGTCCGAAGATTAGGAGCAGTGTTAGAAACAGCATGGCCACAGCGCATGGCGTTTGTTAGTCGATCCTCTAAAATGGAAAAACATATCGCCTCCAGCATAAGGTCTGTTCCGGTGCGGGTCGGCCATTCTCCCTGCTAGCGGTGGCGGCTCTAAGTACTATCCTATATACAGTAGGTTGCATCTTACGATAATTTGTAAGTGAACTAGGAGCAAGACTTTTGACGCGTGACTGCAAACAGGGGTGACAACTCTACATAAATCTGCGCGCCACACCGCCACACAAGGCTGATGAGGACTCCATGGCATCAGAGTGAGTTTCTGAGGCTCAAATGCGACCTTATTACGAGTATTAAGGATGATAATACCTAGACAATGGTGTTGTAGGGAGGGAAGTCTATTTTGCCATGAAAGTAGGTTCTCTGCGAATTAGGCCCGAAGGCCACAATGCAAACGTAATTTAGAAGTGCGAGGTATCTCATGTGTGTAAAATTAACTATAGTACACGACTTATAAAGCGAATATAGCAAATCTCCGTTTGCATGTTGAGTTATAGTCGCATGAAGTCGATGTACCCCTGGTATTTTCTGACACGACAGTTTTCGGCAGGCCTACATTGCCAACCGCAAACCTCCTCCTAATGACAATTCTGGCGCAAGTTAACCCTTTCCTGTACCCATACAAAGGTCAATACTACGAACCTGATTTGCAAATCTAGGGTATTTCTGCAGGGTATTTCTGCTATGAAGATGCTTTGTAAATGTTGTAGTCAAATCTTTCGAGGCCCTTGTCCACATGAAGAGCGAGACCATCACTATAGCGTCCGAGAGCTGGAGCAGGCAGCCTTCGAAAAATGCCATATCTGCCGCGTGTTGTGGAAGGGAATATCAAACAAAGCTCCCCACAAAGTAAAGGCGAACCCAACAGAGGCTACGGGCCACAGACATGTCCCGTCGAAGCCATATTCAAAACATCGAATGCGACACAAAGTCCTTTACACCAACCAGATATCGGAATTGTCTTTTGTGGTAGACCGAAACGGTGTGCTCAACGGTGTGCAAGGCTTCCTTTTCTGTCTCCAAACTACGAGCGGTAAGTAGAAGTTGCACTAATTACAGCTAAGTGAACTCTAATGTTATAATAGATGGACACAATCTACTCGGAAAATCCAGATCAGCCCTCCCTCAGACCTGGGATGAGAGCATGGATGTTGCAACAGAATGGCTATCAGCCTGTCAGAGAGATTATAAAAACTACCGCACTCATCTTTTCAGAGAGCTATATCCCGAAACGTCTTCTCTCCATCATCTGTTCATACCTAAAGAAGGTACAACTGGTGATAAACCCGGGATTACAGCTGGGTCAGATCCGATACGCCACGCTTAGCCATTGTTGGGGCTCTTCAAAACCCCTGACACTGACCTCTAACTCGCTTGCCGCGCTCCAGGCAGGAGTCGAGATCGCAATGCTCCCTCAAGTTTTCTAAGATGCCATATACACAAGCAAGTATCTAGGAATCTAGTTCACCTAGATTGATTCGTTGTGTATATTTCAAGACTCAAAAGACGATTGGGCCGAACAAGCGCCACAGATGAGCCATATCTATCGGAACGGGGTCATTAATATTGCACTAAGCGCAGCTGCAAACAGCAATGAAACTTGTTTCCTTAATAGGGACTTATCACAGGTGATACCTTGCATTGTACAGTCGCCTACCAAAAGTCATTAGCCACTTGTTACGGTCTACGGTTGGACCAGCGTAACTCCACCGGCAGTGCTCCACAATCTAGCTGGATTGGGGCAGGGCTTGCTTACGGACCAGTCAGAAGACACAGAAGCAGCACAGCTGCCTACAGTAATGGAGGAATGTGTTGTCTAATAAGGAAAGGCAGGCTATAAGTTAAGGGAGCCTAGGGGAGCTTAGGGAGCTCTTCTTAGCAGGCTCCTATAAACTCCTCCTGCTCCTCTTAGCACCTCCTGCACATGTATATAGTTCCTATATTAAACAACCTTTAGAAGGTGTGTTTAATGTTTAGTTTATTTTTTATATAAACTAAGTAGCATTTAGCTTTTTAAAGAGCTGTAATACTATTTATATATTTTACACTATATATACCTTTAACTTTATCTAATAGGACTGTTTAACTTAGCCTTTCTACTACTGCATTAAGAGTAAATGTTACAATCCTTGCTTCGTGGAAGCACTCGGGTCTTATGATATTCCTAGAGGAGGTAGGACAGAAAGGAGGGGCCAATCTGGTAGGGTGTACAGTCCTATGTACAGGCTATTAGGCTTAATAGAGAGTTTGTTGAGTGACTAGATTATAGTTTGCCCTGTGTGCAGCAGTAGGGAGGCTAGGGTTAAACAGTCCTATTAGACAGAATTAGAGGTATATATAGTGTAAGATATATAAATAGTATTACAGCTCTTTAGAAAGCTAAATGCTACTTAGTCTATGTAAAAAATAAACTAAACATTAAACACACTTTCTAAAGGTTATTTAATGTAGGAACTATATACATGTATTAGGGACGCTAAGAGAGCTAGTAGGAGCTAGTGGGAGCCTGCTAAAAGGGACTCCTATAGGCTCCCCTAAGCTCCTAGTAATACGCGGCCTGTCCTCCTATTAGACAACGCATTCTTCTATTACTGCAGGCAGCTGCGCTGCCTCTGTGTCCTCTAATTAGTCTGTAAGCAAGCCCTGTCCCAACCTAGCTAGATTGTGGAGCACTGCTAGTAGAGTTACGCTTGTCTAACTGTAGACTGTAACACGCTGCCCCCTCTCCCTAGCAGCGTCCTTACTGCTCTGCTTACATAACTGTGTTAGTAAAAGTTTATTTATAAAGTAAGCGCTTACCTACTAAAAGGCATCTTTAACATTTATTTTTCTTATACTAAATAGCTTGCTAGCCTTGTTTATTTTACTATCTCTATGTTACTCTTTACTTTAATCTTTTTTACTAGATAAAGATAAGGCCCTGCAGCACTTACTAATTTTTAAGGTTATTATGTGTGTTAACTTTATCCTTAGATAAGTGCGTTAAGTGTGTAAAAAAGCATAGTAAATGCAACACCTTTATCTTTAATGCTGCGTAGGATTGTTTAGAGAAGAAAAGAAAAGCGCTTCTTTAGAAGGCTAAAGCCTTATAGGCCTAGAATTATACACTACTAAATAAGCAGTAGGCTTAAGATTAGGAGCAACTTTATCTTTAAAAAAAGATATTAGAGGCAATAAATAAAAAGCGTTTTAAACAGAATTATATCTAAAAGTTACTAGATCTGCTAGAAGCTTGCTGCGTAAAATACTTAGAGGGGGACTTTTTCTCCTTAGATAAGATAAAAGCTCTTAAGGCTAAAGTAAAGGGCTATTTCTTTTCTTAACTTTTATTAGCTAAGACTTATCTCTAAAAGCTACTACTATCTAGTAATAACATAGCTGTTTCTTTTAATATAGGTGCTTTATTACTTAGCTAGTTTCTTTTAAACAAGCTTAAAGGTACTTTTATACTAACAGCTACACATTTTGTAAATTCTTAGCTAGTTTTTATATGTTTTTACTAGTAAGCTACTTTTTTTATTTTACTAAAAATTCTTTTTAGTTCTTTTAATTACTAATAATATATTTAACTTTATATTTTATCTTCTTATCTTTTTATTTTTACATAGATAAAGAGATTTCTTTAAGTGCTTTTTCTAGTTTAGAGATATAAAACTATAAGTAAATTTTTATGTGTAAAGAAAGCTTAAGCTTATAGTTGTCTTATTAAGTCTATAGAACTTTATAAAGTTCTATTTTTTTTTTTACTAGCTTCTTAGAAGGTCTTAGTATCTTAAGATTTTTAGTATTAAGATATATATAATCTCTAGAGTAGATTTCTAGTTCTAATTACTATAATTTATTTACATATTTCTCTATTATTTCTCTGCTAGACTAGGCTTCTATAGCTAACCTTTTATATATTTACTATAGGTCTATTAGCTAATCTATTAATTTCTATAAGTCTATAAGTTAGTTTTCTTATAGCATAAAGTAAGAATTATACTTAAAATTAGCTTTATATAGTGTTTCCTTTATTATAGCTAATTCTATATTGTTAATAGCTAGCTATACTATTAAAAGCTATTTTACCTAATTATTTTAGGTATAAAAAATGTACTTTCTTAAGTACTTTTTTACTTCTGTGTTTACTCTTTTAGTCTAACTATCTATTTGCAGGTAGTAGGCTGTTAATAGTTTATGCGTTATACTAAGGTGCTGCATTACTACTTTCTAGAAGCTGCTAGTAAACAGCTTATCTTAGTTAAAAATAATAGTCTTAAAGCATCTATGTACTAATACTATGTTTTATTTTAACTTATAGATAAATTCTTTAGCTATTATTATTTTCTTTAAGGGCTAAGTATGTAAATATTTAGTAGTTTTATTAAGTGCTACTATAATTATATTACACATTCTTTCTATCTCTAGTTCCTTAGACAGGGGTAGTTCTATAATAAAGTCTATTATAATTATTATTTATAGTAATTTTAGTGCTTTAATTAGTTAGAGGTACCTGTAGGCCTTATGCCTTTATAAGTTATTTTTGTTATAGATATTACATTCTCTAAGCACCTTTATGCATAATTACTTTATTTTTAGTATTTATTATAGTATAGCAGCCCTTAACTTCTTTTAGAGGGTGCCTATCTCTAGGTGTCTAAACATTAAAGATTTATAATATTCTTAGATTAAATTCTTCTATCTCTACTTATTTACTATAAGCATGTAGAATTCTTTTATAAGTTAAGGTTTATTATAGACTTATTCTTTATTAGTTTTTTTAAAAAGTGTAAACTTTTTTTTTTATTTTTTTTTTATTAAAGTAGTTTAGTCTTTAGCTAAGAGCGTTAGCTTACTAGTTCTATGCTTCTAGGACATGCTTAATAATGCAGTTAAACTAAGCAAGCTTTATTACTTATCTTACATGCATTAGTAAGAGTTTCTTTACTATTAAAAACATAACTAAATTTACATAGTTAGTTATAATATAAAATAGCTTTACTATTTTATGTAGTTCTATAGCCTATACTTTTATAGCATTTAATATTGCTTTTAGTTCTTTATTAGGTATGCTGTAGCCTACTTTAGGTCCTAAGAACTTTGTTAAATAGTATGTAACTAAGTGCTATTTTCTATCTTCTTATTTCTAATAAAGCGCGGCCCTACTAGCTTCTAGGGACGCGTCTGTGTGAATTTTAGTATCTAGTTGTAAGTTGTACATTCTTAGCACTAGCTTAGCTGTTATTGCCTGTTTTAGCGCTAGAAAGGCTTTATTTATTTCTAAAGTTTAGATAAATTTTACTATTACCTATTCCTTAGTTATAGTGTTTATTAATAGTATAGTAATTTTTAAGTAGTTTTTAATTATTTATCTAACATAGCTTAATAGCCTTAAGAATCTCTTTACTTCTTTAACTATTATAAGTTTTAGCTACTTAAGTACTTTTTATATCTTAGCTAAGTTAATTTTTATTTTTTTACTATTAATTATAAATCTTAGATACTTTATTTTAGTAACATAGAATTTGCATTTAAAGAGTTATAAGTAGAGTTTATATTTTCTAAGCTGCTCTAAGACTTTTTGTACTTTCTATACATAGTCTTCTAGGGTATCTTTTAAATAGATAAGGACGTTATCTAAATATACTAGAGTAAAGACATTAAAGTATAAGTTAAGAGCTATGTTAATAATTTACTAGAACATTGCTAGGGCATTTATTAGGCTAAATAGCATTACTAGTAGTTTATAAAGTCTTTATAAAGTCTTAAATGCTGTAAGCTACTTATCTTCTTCTCTTATCTTTATCTTATTAAATCTGTTCTATATGTTAAACTTTATAAAGTACTAGGTTCCTTTTAATTAGTTTATAATATTTTATATAATTAGTAAAGAAAACTAATTTTAGATTATGTTATTATTTAGAGTTTTATAGTCTTAATAGACTTAGATTTTTTTTTTCTTCTTAGTAAAAACTATAGCTAACGCTACTAAGCTATAGCTTTCTTAGATGTGGCCTTATACTAGCATCCTATTAACATATTTTTATAAGGCTTTTTTTTATATCCTTAATAAAGAATAGAGCTTATAGGTCTTTAAATTATAATTTTTTATTAAGTTAATAGTGTAATCTTAAGGCTAATATAGTAGTAGCTTTTTAGAGTCTTCTAGTGTTTTAAACATATCCTTATAATCTTTATACTCTGCTAGGATACTGCCTTTTTTCTAGATTTAAATAACACTAATTTATTCTACATTTTTATTATCTTTAATTTTTTTATAAAGGACTTTCTTAAGTTTTTTTTTTATTATTTTTATTACCTAAGCTTTAAGCTTCTAGTAAGGGAATTTCTAAAGTTTTTTTTTTTTAGGGTAGTAACTACTACCTTGCTTTGCTTATTTATAGACTAAGTAATAGTTATTATAGCATGCTAACTAGGTTATGTGTGTGTAGTTGTTAAAAGTTTTTATAGTTATAGTCCTTTAATTAATTATAAGGTTATGTGTTCTAAGCTAATTATAGCCTAAGATTACATTATACTTACTTTTTAGCTAAAGTATATTTATTAATCTCTAGTCCTTTATGTTTAGAGTTTTAAGGTCTTTTTTATATATTTCTAAGTTAATCTATCCTCTACTATACTTAATTAATAATGTGTTAGTAAAGGTTACCTTAAATAAGTCTTTTTTTATGTAGAATAGTATGCTTTATTTATCCACCTAATTCTTATCTATAGCAGTAAAGGTGCATCTACTGTCCACAAGGGCTAGCCTAGGCCACCCTTTATACATAAAGGTAGTTGTTAGGCTATGTCCTGCCTCTTATCCTACTATAATTAC